AATTCCTCATATCAATGAGATCATATGATACATGTCTTTCTCTGTTTGACTTATTTCACTCAACATAATACCCTCTAGTTCCATCCACGTCATTGGAAGCACCATTATTTTTTAACAGCATGTTTGGTAAGTTCATTATTGTCCATTTTTGAAAATACCTGCACCATGGATTATGTAGCATGAAAATCCATAATTAAACATTTGCTTGTTGGCACTCAAACTTAGGCTCTTGTATAGTCTTAAGAACACCCCCTGTAGCCCTCATCAGTGTCCCTCCCGTGCCAGAGCCAAGAAGGTCAACATGCTGTGGAAGGCCTTCCTGCCTAGCTTGGCCTTGCGGTCACTGCTGGTTCATCCACAGATGGTCATAGCTGTAAGACTCTTCGAAGTTACTGAGCAATGTCAAATGTGGACATTTCTTATCAGGGAGGCTCATTCATGGGCTGGAGCTAGATGACCATAACCCAGAGGTCAGGAAGAGAATACCAGACTGGATGCCCCGAGACCTCGGTTCTGCTTAGGGCTCCACTGTGAGTCACCCGGTGGCCTTGAGCAAATCTGTTAACTCAATTTTCCAATCTATAAACTAAAGGCTTTGAGCTGGAGGATCTTGAAAGTTAGGTCTCTTACAGTTAAAAAAAAAAAAAATCCATGATTCATTCTCTTCAAACAAATCAAATAAGGGTTTCATTTCCTGAAGTGGATTTGTCAATGAAAGTTGAAATACCTAAATCCTTCCTGCCTAATAAAAGGACCAGCAAGTGGCTTCAGTGAATTTGCTGAAAAGCAATTTCAGCAGAAAGCACTTCAGGAAGGAAAGAAAATTTAAATCACTTCACCCAGGCCTGTATTTTTTCTCTATACGGTGTTTTTACCATGTGATCAGCGTGGAGCCTGACCCTTTTCCAAAGTCACTAGGAAACCTGGGCTTTTTCTGCTTGTTTATCTTTGGATGCTGGTGTTCCTATCTTTGGAAGTTCTTCTTGGAAAGTTAAACCAATGAACTGAACATAAAACAGTTGAACATGGCAGGGGATCTTCATATGTTTATATCTTTAAGTTTCACCAAAATTATGAACTCAGCAGGCACGATCCTGTCTTATCGTGATACGTGATTCCTCTGCAGGTTCTAAAGAAAATGTGTTGCCATTGCAAAGTCAGCATATTCTGTGGAAAAGACCCCGGACAGGAGTTAAAAGATTCAAATCAGAGTAGCATATTTGAGGTACTCATGCCCCTACTTTCTTTTTCTCGGACCATGGCAGACATCATTAATCAATCATGTCACTTTTTGCTGCAAAGCTTATACGCAGCCTTCTCCTCCACACATTTGAGGAAGTCGTTACCATCAGAGATGGAATGTCAGTGGAGAAGTAATTTGCTATTCTGGACTTAGATTCTTGTTATAAGTCAAAGCCACACGGAGTGATTTAAGGCTAATCGCTTAAACTTTCTGGACTTCCTTTATCTCCTCTGAAAAGCAATAAACTATCCCCTGCCTTGCACAAAGGAGGATCAAAAAGTATTCTGTAAGTGTGACTTGCCATTCAAAAGTCAAGAAATGGAAGAAATCATGTTTGTTCATTAACTGACCTAAATGTCCAGCCTGCATCATTAAGCCCCAATCGTCCACTACTACAGTTGGTGTGTGGACTGTTGGGGAGTCTACTACAGATGCCAGCCTGTTGAGCTCAGAATGCACTGAGGACTAGGTTCTCCTATGGTAATGATCCTAGGATGTCTCCCGAACACACCAGGAAGCTGCAGGAACCTACAGTCCTGGCCCCAGGTGACCTCCATTCCTCTCACCAGGTATCTGAGTACATGGGCGAGCTGGTTTGTGAGACATTATGGCCTGGCTGATAATACCAGCAGTCCTTGCTGCTGTCTTAGTATTCACGGGCACAGAGACAAGCCCTTTCACATGTATTGTCTCACTTAACCTCGCCAAAATCCTATGAAGAATGGACAGCGTGTTCTTGTGTTACAGATGTGGGAATGACAGCTCTGGAAGTTAAATGACTTGCCCAAGTGCACACAGTCAATGCGTGGCAGAGCCTGGACCCCAGTCTGGGTCTGTCTGTCTCGAAAGCCTGGACTTTTCACCACTTCTTGGCCTTTGCTGAGCCCAGAAACTCTAAGGGTGACTGATCTAAATATTAAAACAAGTAAGATAGTAAAGCTGTTCCCATGTAGGCTTAAAGGATTTAAAGTAGAAACAGACATATTGCTGCACACTCTTTCAACATTTCTTTTCCCAGAGTTGTTTACAGTCACCACAAGTCCCCTCCCCAAAATCTATCTACAAGCCGGCTTCTTTTGGGAGACATTCATTTTTAACCACATTGTTGTCTACACTTACAGAGAGGAAGTAACAAACTGACTTGGAAAAATATGACCCTTGTGACTTGCCCCTGAGATACATTTTCTAATATACAGAAGTTGCATGACAACTTTCTGGGGAGGCAGGTCCCCAGAGACCTACTTAGAGAAAATGAATGATGCTAGCAAAAGCCTGGCTAACTTCTCGAGGAGGTGTTGATTGAAGTTCATTAGTGAGAAGGAGGATTCGCATCACTCACGGCACATCCAGCTCTCGCAGATGGGCACCATGTGCTGAACGCCAGAGTTTCCAAAAAAGCAGATCTGTACTTCCTTTTGGAGTTGGTTAGAAGAAAATATTGCAGAGAAAGCATTCCAGGCAGGCTGGGAGGGGGTTCAGGTTTGAGTTAGAAACAGTCTGGAACCTGGAGTGTGTCGATCCCAGTGTGTTTGGGGCTTCTCCTCGGGCGGGTGTCTCAGGAAGGAGTGGAGGGAGGTCACTTGGCTCACTCTAATTGATCAAGGGGCAGAACCCTGGGACACAGATCCAGACTTGCAATCTCGCATGAGGAAGTCTTCAACGTTCATACTATCATGGTTAGACTTTTTGATTGGTGGGGTTTTCTCCAATAAACAGGGTATCTTTGCAATAGCTGTTTCATTTTTCCTTATTGATTGTTGCATAGAAAATGCTTTTGTAGAAGCACATGCATAAATGATGTGCCTCACACTTATTTAAGTGAGGTAGTGCATGTGAGCACATTGTGTAACACCTCACAGGCACTCAATAAATGGGGGCTGTGCCCACTGTTTATGGTTTCTGTGTTTCGCCTGAGGGCACTGGGGAGTGGCTGCCTTGCCCGGTGTCCAGCAGTAACTGGACCTGACCCAGGGTGTTCTGCCTCCTCCCACCTCTCCCCCAGTCAAAGCATCTCAGTGCCTGGGCCATGCTCTACTTACAGAATACAACTTACAGCCCTTTGGGAGAGCAACTGGGGCTGTACTAGAAGAGAAAATGTGTTGTTGACAATGTAGCACATGGTCCACTGATTTAACCAATGGGTGCAGAAACCAAGAGTCAGAGGCTCTGGGGAGGCAAGAGGAAGGCTGATTCATTCACCGAGGTGTGTCATCGAACCACGAAGCAGAGCATTCCCCCAGGAAATGGTGAGCCCACCAATGATGGGAGAGGGGCAGCAGTGCAGGTGGGCCTGAGGAGGAGAAGCCCCAGCTCCCATTCTCTAAGAGGGTCCACATGCCAGACACTGTGTCTGTGCTTCTCCTGCCACTGACCCCTTTGAGCTGGGTGTGGTTATCCCAATGTCAAGGTTAACAGCCCTGGGAGGACCCAAGGAAGACACCTGAAGCATTTAATTCTGGAAACAGGGAGAGATGTAGCAGTCATAAGTTGAGCATATATTTATTGTGCTTTTTCTATTTACATTAAAGTTCTTAGCCCTAGGAGTACTGTGGTGCCCACAAGAAAGAGGATCTTGTCTTCAAAGAGCTTAGAGTCAAGCGGCGGAGACAGATGGACAGGTGTGTGCACGTGGGCACGTGCGCGCGCACACACACACACATACACACACACCTAAAACTTGTGATGTATGCTGAGAAGAAAAATAAGAACATGCACTGGGGCACCTGGGTGGCTCAGTCGGTTAAGCGTCCAACTCTTGATTTTGGCTCAGGTCATGATCTCAGAGTCGTGAGATCGAGCCCCGTGTCTGGCTCTGTGCTCAGCAGGGAGTCTGCTTGAGATTTTCTCTCTCTCCCTTCTCCCTCTGCCCCTCTGCCCCTCAAAGAGATAAATCTTAAAAAAAAATAAGAGCATGCACTAAAGACAGTAAGATAGAAAGTGTGTGCTAGTTATATTTGGAGCAGGAGAGTAGTTGTGGAGACACTGTCTCCGAAGAAGGGACACTTACAGGGAGATCTGAGGGCAGGTAGGTGTTGATTGTGGGGAAGAGCAGCAGGGATGGCATGTGTAGGGGCCCTAAAGCAGGAAGAGCTTGGCTTAGGAACTGACTGAGAGGTCACTATGGCTGGCAGGTGAGGCAGGGGCTCATCTCCCGGGGTCCCATGGGCCATGCTAAGGAGTTTGGAGCTTTTCCTTAATGCAATGGGAAGCTGTTATAGAGCTCAAAGCCTGGGAGTGGCATGGCCTGATTTTTGTTTTCCAAAGATGGCTCTAGCTACTGTGTAGAGAATGGATGGCGGGGGCAGGTGTGGGGAGGCTGTTACAGGTGATGGATGACGGTGACTTGGTTAGAATGGAGGCAGTGAGGATGGAGAGGCGTGGATGGCTTTGAGATGTAATTTGGAGATGGAATTGACAGGGCTTGGCAAGGAGGAGAGAGCAGAGTGTTCAATGAGAGGGATGAGGGTGGGAGTGGGAGGGAGTGAGGGAAGGAGAAGGGCACAGTGAGCAGCATGGCCGGTCACTGACAGACGCTGACAAGCGGCAGGGCCACGGCACCTCGGCTTCTGCTTAACCACTGAAGCCCATCTTGATCCCAATGCCCTTTGTGTCTTGTTACAGCAAAATGACGGACAGTTCACGGTGATCCAGCTGGTGGGGATGCTCAGGGGTATTGCCGCGGGCATGAAGTACCTGGCCGAGATGAACTATGTGCATCGGGACCTGGCTGCTAGGAACATCCTGGTCAACAGTAACCTGGTGTGCAAGGTGTCTGACTTTGGCCTTTCCCGCTACCTCCAGGATGACACCTCAGACCCGACCTACACCAGCTCCTTGGTGAGTCCTTCCTGGTATTCTCAGGTAAAAGTGTGGCATGAATAAGAAGTGGCTGCACATGGCTGGGCTAGGGACCCATGGCAGGCAGGACACACTGGGAAGGGCTGGGACCTGAACTTATCTCTCCACTGGGGGAAGAGGCTGCCAGATGGAGAAATAACAGCAGCTGGTTGTGAGGCAAGCATTTGGGCATAGGCTGTAAGGAAGAGTCAGGGTGTCTGCTCTGAAGCCCTGGTGTTCCTTGGTCAATGAGAAGAGAACATTCTGGAACAGGTGATCTGGGGGAATCCAGGTAGTTGGATGGTGGCATCAGAGACGTCCATCAGCAGAAGTAGGCACTGGGGGGTTAGGTTCTGTGTCACCGGGCAGACCCTTGGTGCCCTTCTCCCACCCTAGTGCTTCCTGACAGTTTGAAGACAGACATCTACATGATGAGTCCTCTTACATTTGCGTTTACTGCCCAGCTTCCCCCTCCACAGTCCAAGCAGCTCCAATCACCTATGGCCAGCGCCTAGTTCACACAGTTCCAGTCAGAACTATAACAGGTCCAAAGCCGAGTTCCTGGTTTACTCCATTTTCCTCCCCAATCTCTGCATCTCCCTGGTTGCACCAACTCAACTCATGACTAAAATCTGAGAATCAGCCTTGATTGCTCTCACCTCACCATCCATGCCTAATCCCTCAGCAACTCCCATAGGTTCAAATAAAATCTGCCCCTTTCTTTCCTTCTCTACAGTCCCCACCCTATTCCAAAGCACCGTTCTCTTTTACCTGGTCCCTTCTAGTAGCTTCCTAACTGGTCTCCCTGGTTTCCTCTTGTCTCTTTATGTCCACTCCCAGTATATTTTTTTAAAAATATAAACAATACAGAGAAGTAGAGGGAGAAAAGGTAACCAAGAAACCACAACTGCCCTGAAACAGGGGTCAGTAAGCTTTTCCTTAAAGGCCAGATAGTGTTTTAGGCTTTGTTGGCCAAGAGGTAAGACAAAGGATATTATGTAGATAAATATGTAACCATTTAAACTGTAATCTTTTAAAAAGGTATAAATACCATTCTTAGCTCATGGGCTACAAAAATCCAGGTGACCAGACCATAGTTTACCAACCCCTGTCCTGAAACACCAATTTTAATAATTAGGTGTGTCTCTTATCATACTTTTCTCATTGTTCAAAATGTGAAAACTTTTATTTTGTAAAAATGGGATCATACTAAGCTCATTATACTGTCCTGCGTGTGTGATGGGCATTCTTCCTGCCCAGCCGCTTTTCTAAAAGTTTGTGAACATTTACACTCCACCAGGAATGTATGGTGCCCATCTTCTGACATCCTTACCATCAGTGAAGGTGATCGATCTTTAAAAATTTGCCAATCCAAAGATGAAAAATGATACTTCATTGTGTTTAAGTCTGAGTTTTCAACTGAGTGCTAGAGATACTACCTTACAGTCTTTTCACACAGTTACTGGGATGCATGTTTTCTCTTCTGTTAATTATCTGTACATGTCTTTACCTATTTTTCTATTGGGTCGTTTGCTGGTTTCTTAGAAATTTATAGGAAGTCTTTGGGTGCCTGGGTGGCTCAGTTGGTTAAGCGACTGCCTTCGGCTCAGGTCATGATCCTGGAGTCCCTGGATC